TTTTTTTCACATTCTGTCTCTCACAGTTGAAGTGTACCTCTGGTGCAAATTACTGACCTCTGTCATCATTTTAAGTGGGGGAACTTGCACAATTGGTGGCTGACTAAATACTTTTTTGCCCCACTGTAGTATTGACCGTCAACTCTGCAAGTGAATTTATTTTACAACTGTCATTTGAACACTGAGATTGGGGAGCTTACTCGAGTCCCTGAAACAGAACACTGGACATGTTTCACTGGTGAGTCTATGTGGCAATTAGAGGAAGCGACGTTTGTGCTTCTTTAGTTCAGTCTCGTGTTTCAGATCACTTGGTAAAACCATAAAGTCAGCTGACTACAGAGGCGAGGGTGTGGATTTTTTTAAATGATACATGTGGAACTAAATGTAAATCTGAAGTAACTGAAGTGCAGCTTTAATGCAAAACACATATCACATAAGTGTTGGGAGTTAGAGATTTTCATGCTGAGCATTCTGTCTTCCTTGCTGTCACTTGTCTGTGAAGGTTCTCAGTCATCCAGGTCATCGTAGTCAAAGGAGCTTGCAAAGAAAAGCGTCTGGACTTCAAGTTGCTTGAAGACGTTTCACCTCTCATCCGAGAAGCTTCTTCAGTTCTAAGGTCAAATGGTCTTGCTGTCACTTGCGATTTTTATTTGTCTGGTAGAGCAGGAAACCTTTCTTCATCTTTTTGATTCTGGGTGGAGCAGGTGGATGTTTTTTCCTCTCTGTGTATGTGGTATCGCAAGAAATAAGTGGTTATATAAATATATGAGTATGCATAATAGTTATTATTCATAGATACCTACATCCTAAGTTCCTGTTATTCTTCTGAAAGAAGCAGAATGAGTGTGTTGTTACAATGGTAATACCAGGAGAGGCAGTATTGGTTCTGTGTTACATTAATGTGTAAGGAAGGAGAAGAAGAGTGTGTCCTGTAGGAGGCAGTAGAAAATGGATGCTCATGTTCTGTACATGCCCTGAAAGAAAGGTTCAGTAAACCAGTGCAACAATACTCCGGTGTAAGGCTCAGTTATTGTATTTTTATTTTTTGAAGATGCAACAGTGTAGAAACCAGAGAGAGAGTCAGGAGCAGAGAGGTCCTTGAAGCTGCAGATAAGACTGTAAAGATGAATGTTGAGGAGGAAGAAGCTGATGTGTTGTGATGATGTGACGGCATGTTGTCCGAGGTGCTCACAGTATAAATGTGGGAGTAGAAGGACGAGAGCAGCCTGATGTGAGCAGAGAGGAAGCTGCAGGTCAGCACTGCTGTGTTTTACTACATGTTACTGATCTGAGGGAAGAACTTCAGCATTTTCATGAAAACCACAGTGTTCAGTATAAAAACCTGTGTCACAGTTAATGTAGTGTCATTAAACGTGTCGATTCTGTGTTTGGACGACTTCACAGGAAGTCTGACTAAGTAGAAATGGAAAGTTTCCTTCTTGAAGGAGATGAACTTTGAGCTCTACTGGTCAGATTTACACCAACATGGATCAAACCCAGTCTGACACACAGCAGCAGAAAAAAAGACTCTGACTGGAGGTTTGATAACATCAGGTGTGAACACAAACCTGTGACACAAACAGCTTTTCTGCAGGTCAGCCAGCAGATGGCAGCGTTCTCTTAAAGAAAAGCTGCATTTGAACTGCATACACTATGTTGATGATTGATTTCAGGTTTATAAGATGCAAACAATAAACAAAGTAAAGGCTCCATTAATATAAATATAGGTTCTCATTGTCAAATGTAACCATGTTACGAGGTAAACAGTGACTTAACATCAAATAGAGGCAAAAAAGAAAACAGTGTCTAAACGTGCTTGAACTTTTTACTTTCACACTCATATTTGCAGACGATTTCACACATTCACATATATCACTGTAACTTTACACTCCCTGCAGTAACAAATACATCCATCCAAAATTCTTAAATATAAATATTCTTATAAATAAATATCTGAGGTAATAAAAAATTAAAATATAATAATAAAAAAATAAGATCCTGAGCTGGCTAACAGCTGCAAACACATCTGTTTAACTGTGAACCAAAGGAGCTCTGTCATGTTACAGAGCAGGAATAAAAAAGAGTTGGACACAAACATCCTCTGATTTTAGCTCCGTAACTGCAGCAGAAACTACAGTCAGGAGGATTTCTGTCAGTCTGCACAAAGTTTGTAGCTTTAAATGACAAAAAGAGGAAGTTAAGCTTGAGCTCTGTATCAGGATCAAACTGCTTCTTTAAATAAATAACTAGAAACAGCCTGAACATCGAGTCCTGACCAGCAGGAAGTTTCAATTACATTTAATAAATTAACTGTGGCTTTAAAAATGAAGACCAATAAATATCTGAAGTTTCAATCACCTTGTATAAGGTTCTCACAGTCCTGTCATATAAAACTAACTTTCATAAATAAACACTTTCAGCATCACAATAAGTGACTCTGTTTAAATTACAGCTGCATTAAACATCATTCACAGCAGGTCATTAACACAGTGCAGTAAAGTAATCAGCTTATAACCTGTTTTTGTAACTTCTGTCTCCCACACAGTTTTCAGATGAGGGTTTATTTCCATCTTTCCACCTGAGCTGTGTCACAAACGTTCATGGAAATTTCCTTTAATGCTGTGAAATCCTTCCAGTCCTGCTGTTTGGGAATAATTCACTTCAGTCCAGAACAGTGATGATGATCATTTCTTTTACAACATTTTCTTTGTTGAGCTCGATAAATAAACTGGACGAGGCTCGAGTCT